AGTGTCACCTGCAATTGTTCGGATTATCAGCACATAAAAAATCATACTTTGTTAAAATTCTCGGAAAACAAGCAACATATCTGCACAGACCGAATGGGTTTTGAAATGAAAAGTTCCGCGGTTTAAAGTCAGTAGATCGATTTTAGGAAGCTATTGTCTCTGTGTAGGTACATCGAACATTATCTCATATGAATAAGGAATCAAACAGGAATATTCTCAGGTGGCCTGAATATCTGACAGAACTGGAAAAAAAAACAATAATTCTTTCAAAAACAGAAGGAAATCAGAAATATGGAACCAATCCCTGACTGAATACAAAAAGCTTCTGAAAAAATCTACGAAAGATTCATGGGAGACGGAATGTGAAGAAGTTGAGGATACTTCTATAAAATACACTTGGAAAGAATCTCAGGTATCAACAAATAATACAAGCGAGTACACAATAACAAGGATTCTGTAAAGATCTTCTCCAGATGAACTTCTCTGGACCGCGAATCATTTATCTCACAGCAGAGTCGTACTGGACAAATTTAAAAATAAAACATTCCCCAAAAAGAGCATTGATATCAAGATTGTTTCGAGAATGTCGTGAAGAACAGAAAAAACTCTCATTGACTCCAAACTGGGTACCACGATACTAAATCACATGCAGTGAGGAAGCTGATGAGTGTGTTGGACACGGGTCACCAACCCTATATGAAAGAAAAAACTGTGTGGAAGTGGAAACTACGGTACCGGACCAAACTGGAAAATGGGTCAATACTCGTATGAAAAGCACTGAAAAATTCACGTATGAAAAACCTTTATGGATATACCTTATGAGGAAAATACTGAAGAGCTCCTTCAACAGAAAAGGTAGCAGCTCGAAGTAATCACAAGGATATTTAGGTACTTGATACTGTCTTTTCACAGGACATATGAGAAATATAGGTCGGTAGCTAGGCGGTTCAACGTGGGTGCTTTGTTCACTCACTCGAATTGACTGCCGTGTTAGACAGTGATTCAAGCCCTAGTCTGAACGATCGATTTTCATTTACTATCGTCCAACCCGTTTCAGGAATTACACGTTAAAGGTAAGACCTCATTAATCCTTAGCTTGCACAAGTTTCGACTTCTGAGGGTTGTCGTTCGTAGGGGTGCGACAGCTGGTTAGCGGAAAAACAGATTTTTTATTGTCGATTGAATTTCACTTCAAAGGGTTTTACAAAAACCGCGACACGTGTTTCGCTATACAATAGCTTCCTCAAGTGTTAACTAAAAGTTACTTCTAAATTACAACCATTTTATACTCTAACATATTACCTATTCGTATGCCTACTTTCTAATGAATGAATTTACCTGAAAAGGTCAGGTATAAATTCAACCAAATGAATAGGTTTTTCGAGAATTAACTATTTTTACCTGAAAATGAACAGATTCAATAATAGCGAATTATTCAATCGAGTTTGATCGTTCATAAGATATTGAGTATTTTTGAATTTGTTTATTTTCATTATCTACAACAGGTTAAGTTTCAAACCTTTCCACTGGGAATGAAGGGGCTTGAATTTATGGTTGAACTTATGTCCCTCTGTGATTGAATGAGTGGCATATGTGAAATTTGTTTTTCCATTCTGGAAACTATTCTTGTGTTCCTTTATGCGGGCTTTGAACGTTCTTCCAGTTTTACCTATATGAAACATCGGACATGACCCACATGATAATTTATACACTCCCGATTTTTCTGAAACTGAACTTTTATCTTTGTTATTCTCAATGTGAATGACTAAGTTGTTGTTGGTTTTGAAATCAATATTTACACCTTTGTTGTGCAGAAAATCTGAAATATTTGTAGTAGGTTGGCCTAAGTAGGTTGAGGTTCTATAACTTTTATCCTCTTCTCTTCGAATTGGGTAAACTTCCTTCAAAGTTTGGCTGTATAACTTTACGATAAATTGAAAAATCATGTTTGTTGTTAACTTTTGTTATCGTCAAATCCGAAAAATTTAGAGTCGTTCTTTTCCATCTCCATGATGAAATTGATAGAAGCTTGGAGAGAATTGATGAACTTCAAAAAGTTTGTCAACTGTATGTGTTCAACTGTATGTGTTTGTATGTATGTGTTCCTGTGAAACATACTGTGATATCAACCACATATCTAATACCAATACACGAAACATCTTACCAGTGGGTTACTGTGTATTTTTCTTTCCAAAACGTCCATGAAAATCTCTGCCAGAATAAAGCTAAGTGGGTTTCCTCATCCTTTGCAGGCTGATTAAAACATTTCATTGAATTGGAAGTAATTTTGTGACAAACAAACCGTAAGCAAGTCTAATATTTCCTTTTTCACTACCGGATTTATAGTCCTTTCGTACAATAGATTATCTACAAGAGTAACCGTTTCATTCGGAGGAATACTGGAAAACAGATTCTTTACAATCAATTTGGCATTATCCGAGAGTGTAGTATGTTGAATTTTATCATGAAAACAATTTTTTACTACGAAAAAGCTACTACGAAACATAGCCTCATTGCAATCTCTAACCTTATTTCACAATATAATTACCGCAGTATCTTTATCATAAAGTTCGATTTCGTGAAAATGAACATGAAGTGAATATCCGACACAAAAATACAATAACTGCCCCCCACCACAGCACAGCAATGTTTGAGAGATCGTTCAGTTTTTCTATCTACACTCATTACAATAGTCTTCCCAAACACCTAAAAAAATTGAAACTGCCACTTTTCAAGCTTCAGGTCCATAACTGGCTACATGAAAAACAACTATCGTGCAACTAAAGTCTCGCATAAAATGCAAAAATTCAAGTCATTCTGTAAGCATTATGAATATCTCTCTTTTATTCTTTTTATTATTTATTTTTTTCTCTCTTACTATATAGGCACTATAATTTGTGTATATCATATGTTTGATGAATACTTCTAAGTTTTGTATATTGTAAAGGAGTTGAATAGAGGAGCAGAATTCGGCGTGTTGCACACGCTTGTCTCCTGAATTCCCCTCCGGGATTTTGCCAAACCCATTGTATTTTCCTTTGTGTACTTTCTTTTTTACCTTGGCAAATATAAAAGACATTATTATTATTTTTTCCACCATAGTGTGCGCTGGTCAGGCTCTATCCCCCGAAGCCCCGATACATTCGGGAGGGCGCGCCAGCATTATCAACCAATGACCACTCCCCACACCGTGGGGTAAGTGATCATTGGGTCCGAGAATCATGTGCTCTGAGAGCCAAGAATGACAGCCTTTTGCATCTGTACGGCTAAGATTTCTGCCTTAGTGCGGCAAGAAAATGAAAAGATTGTTAAAATGGTGATTAGGAGAGAACATTTGGGGAAAAACCCAATAATCCTATGAGCCTGGGAGAAGTAGATGAGTGAGGTTCAAAATAAATATTATTTTCCTATGATTATAGCAATCGAGGGATTCAATCAGCATTGGTAACTAATGAAAAAAATAATATCGCCTGAATATTACGTGAAGGATGATTAAAACAATTCATGTTATAAATAAACAAATTATTTGTGAATAATTTGTTTATTATCATAGACATATGAGAATTCACTAGCAAAGAAAAATTTGATATCTAAACAACTTTGGTTGTATCAAATGAAAACATCACTATAATCTAAAAATCATTGATAGATGATGGTACATTTCTTCAATATATAACATTTTTGTTTCACCACTCTATTTATTTACATCGAAAACAAAAAAGCATTTTACAATTCAGCAACTGGTCGACTACTGATTTTTCATATCAACCTGTTAACATTACATCTTGATATTTTTTATTTCATCATCTACCTCATTATCTTTTATTTTGCTCTTTTCTCTATCCTTAGTCACCTTTCCCCGAAACTTTTTACCTTACCTGAGATAGCTTGGTATATCCAATAAAAAATCCAAATCACATATTGTACCGTCACTGATAAACGCACCTGAACGCACGTGGTACCGTCATGGGTACCGTCGTGGTACTAAAGAAGCGGTGCTGTAAAAGTTGTCTCTTTCGTCGGGTCTGATCCCAGAGTGTGTCAGGGCAGACACGATGTGTCTAGTATGCGGTTGTTCAGCTGCGCCTGGTTATTGTTTGCACTCAACATTTGGGTTCGTCCTTTAAGTGGATTGCCAAGATTACATGGTGAAGAAGAGTCTATTGAATTCCATTAGGAACATTCCAAGTGCGGTGAAGCTTCATTGGAGTATGACTTTAGAAAAACTCAGCCATTGCATTTGCCATTCTTTTAGACGTAGATAAATGACTTATGTGCACTAATAATTACAAAATTTAAATGATCTGGGTCAAGAAGTTTGATATTTAAGAAAAACCAGTTTACTTAAAAGGTATTTGTCGTACAAAAAATAGAAGGTGAAAATTGTCAATGTGAATACCACCTCCGCAGTATTTCAACCAAGAAAATTTTCACTCTCTCACATTGTGCTGACTATACACAATATGATTCCGAAATGTTAAATTTGTAAGCAGTGCTTTCCTACTTGTTTGGCTCAAGAATGAGCTAGAACGATAACTAATTCCGAATTTTGATACATTATTGTTTTCGTATTTTTTTCAAAATTGTATTAGAATCGATCAATTGGAAACCCTTATCGAAATAGTTTTTCACTATAGACTCCGTGGAATGAGAAAAAACTCGCAGTTCTACAAATTATTCCTTACTCTCTGGTTCCTGATACAAGGAAGTAATAAAGGCTCAGTATGACTCCAAAACGCGAACAGAGAATTTGTGATTCCGTTATTATTTGCCATAGATGTTCTAGGTTTATAATACTTTATCGGGTCGTTTCATACCTGCAGTAGCATTCGTGTATTTATTTAAAAATGCTTTTTAAAGCTAATGACTATGTTCATTTATTCATATACAATAAATATTATTACAACATTTCAATTCACAATATTCACATTCTGATGAATAGATAAGATGATATGTATGAACAAAAATTGTGGTATGTTATTTTCAGATGAATCCGATGAATTTTTCTAGGATGTTTTGATTGAAGGTTCAACAATTTTCTCAACTGAGTGGTCTAATTTTCACATGTTATCCCCTGCTTCAATTTTTTCAAGGACAAAAACAAGCATTACAGGAAAATCCTTAAGGCGGTCTTAGAGCGGTGCCTGTGCGGAAGTAGTGATTCACATTGGATTTGAATCGCCGAAAATTGAATCCATTTGGAAAAATATTTCCAGGAAGTGTATTCCATACAAACGCCGTTTTATTAATGAAAGATCGAGGTGTACTGAGTTGAACCTCAAAACCATGGGCACTTTTGAGAAGCAACCTCTGCAATTCCAGCGACATGATTGGGCCAAGACATATTGGTGTCCATTTAAATCCCCAAAAAACTTATCGAAGCAGAAAGCGGAATTGTCTGACCTGACATTATTATATCCGGTTCGAAGATAATTATCTTTTTAGAAAAAAGTGATGCCTGAGTTTTTATGGCATTGAATTGAATCTGGTTACTTTCACCCCAATTTAAAATCACTTCTAGATCCTCATTGAGGTATTCAATCTTCTGCTGCCGGTGAAGATGTGCGTCAGCAGTCGATGTCCTGAAATCCAAATGTAATGACGAGACAAGTGTGCTGTCGTCAGCAAAGCAATATACTGGATTCTTGGTTTTTTTCCAATAAGTCGTTGATATACAATAAAAAGAGTGTCGGAGACAATATGGACCCCTGGGGAGCACCAGAGCTGATGGTGAAAGTATTGAGAGATATCCATCGATGACCACTTGCAGGGAACTTTTTTTCAGAAAGGTGAAGAACCATACACAAAAATGATCCCACAAGCCATAGCATCGAAGTTGGCCAGCCAATCCTTATGCCGCACACGCTGAATGGCCTCAGAAATATCAAACATTTTAGCTAACATCAATAAATCAACCTCAATAAATCCATAAACAATTCAAATGTGTTGATGCATGTAGCCGTTACTACGTGGTAGATGAAAAATGGAAAATGAAAATTTCTATGTTTTTGCCACTTTCATGAAAGTGGTCATAAAAATAGAAATTTTCGTTTTTCTTTTTTTTTTTTCATGAATTCCAATGTGGGTAATAAATAATCAGTCGCTTTCCTTTTCCAGGAGGCGACTTCAATCCAGTAGACCAGCCTTTTAAAAATGCTTGACGTGAACTTGTAAGTAATGTTTTTGTCTTGCCACATCTTTCCAACGGTACATCCTTCTTTAGGCTAAGTTTGGTCTAGACAATACATTTTTATATTCTCACATCGAAGCTATATTTCATTTGGTCAGTATATTTACTCCTGAAGATGCTATTGTTGCGGTTTTGTAAACTGTAGCAAAAATCTGACAATAAAGTGTTTCTTGAATACACACGTAAGAAATTCCAACAAAGAACCGCCGAATAAAACAAAAAAGGTTTTGAAAATTTGTAAAACAAAACAAAAAACAATGAAAGCCTAAAAAGAAAAACAACGGTGAAAAACGCCCAAATAAAAGCCCAAGGAACTGAAAAAAAAACGGAAGAAAAAACAAAAACGAACCAATAATAAAAACATAAAAAACCAAGCAAAAACCGGTGAAAAGTTAACAACGGTTTTTTCTTGTACCACTTGTTTTTTCAAATTTCGTGAATTTTCGCTGATGATTCTGCATATGCAATAGAAATTAGACAGATCATCGACTGTTGTCATGTTTATAATGGAATTATGAAACAAGGCTAAAATGTGTTGTACTTCAAACTATTTTTGAATGAAACAGAGATTGAATTTCTTTCATCGTTGGCAATAGCATAAAATATGAAGAAAATAATGCAGTTGAATTTCTTGGCAACCAGTTAGACTGTATATTTTCATATGATGAACTCATATGAATGTACTCGATCCCAAAGTTGCCAAAATAGTTTCTGAAATTGAGAAAAGTTGTGCAGCTACTTGGGTCTCAATCTGCAAAACTCTATTCATATCGGTGAACACAATAATGACATAATCAATTTCCACCATCTGTCAGTACATATGTAGACAACTGAATAATTTCTATCCAACAAAGTGACCCAAACAAAGATAGATAGATATCTTTGAAAGTACTTGAACTGGTTCAGTTCAGTTCTGAATGAAATTTTGCATGATCTACTCATCTTTGTGAGGAGTTTTTAAACTGTTTTCCTCAATTGGATGAAGCAGAAAAAAATGGATGAATCATCTCGACATTTCCTAAGTGAATTATGCCTCTGCTGCTCTCGAACTTTGGTTCATACCAGTTTGCCTTGAAACGAAAAAGTCTCATTCGGTTGTCTTTCTTTGCTCGTTATATCTACTAGATCACTAGATTCCATTAAATGAGTGAAGAAGTAGTGAATTCTAATACCCCTTATCAGTACATATGAGGAAATCGCAAATAATAGCATAGCGTACCCTACCTAGAAGACGAAACCAATCACTAAAGTTGTCAATTCTGTAGGTACCGGAAGAAATAAAAATCACTGTATACATAAACAGTCTTCATGAATGAGACTGACCAAACAGTGGATGAGTTTTTCAAGGCATCTATATATCAACTCTATCAACTATTTGAAACATAATCATAAAGTCTGCCCAGTGTCATTTTTGAAATTAGGCAGTTAACGTAATTGAAAGGTACTTCGTTATCATGTCAAATGTATAACCATTTCCATATTACCATATTTTTTAAAGTACTAAATTTTTTGTTGTTGCCTGATATGTTTCTTCGGAAGTAATTAAAGAAATTAAAATAACAGGTTTCACATAGAAAACTGAATTGATGTTTTTCACGATTTCGAATGAAATATTCTAACACCTCATTTCCAGATTTGCAATGAACTGTGAAGAGCTATGGCATTCATTCGGGCAATGAACCGTCTTTTCGAGAAAAACCAGTATTCTCTCTTGATTGGCTTCAAATTAAACATGTTTTGAATGTATACTATGTTGATTGATCTTCACTTATGTTTTTGATGTATTTAAGTTATCAGATCGGCCATTTCTACCGCTACTGACCCATCAGAAAAAGCGGCAGACAGGTCAAGGTAGATTGTTCTACTTTCTTCTGTAAAAGGTAAAATCGCGTTTGCTCCATTCATAAATACACTGCTCGATCATTACTAAGGTGCTGAACAAGTTCCAAATTTGAATGATGAAATAACAAACGCACCATATCAAAAACTCTCACCTAGCTTTCAAGCATATTGAACTGGTTGAAAACCATAGACCAAAACGCAGCGCATTTATGTTTCAAAACTAGACAGCGCTGTTTCAACCCACCATCAGTGGTGTTAGAATGAACCCCAGTAGAATAATACAACCAGTAGGCTATCTTATCACGTGATCCGCCCGAGTTGCCGAGAACCTTCAACAGCTCTCAGGATGAGATTCTCATCCAACGCGTTCAGTGCTGTAGTATCGAAGGATTCGACGGTACCACGGATATCGGATTAGTTATAATAAACGGTCGAAAATTGATATTGTGTTTAATTTATTCGCTGTTGTTATTATTGTTTTTAGTTTTTGTAGTTGGTAATAAGTAACTTACCACAAAATCTTCTATAATATCTTTAAATTTCGATTTTATATGAGCACACGCCTATGATAAAAAAACGAAATTGGCTCCGCACATCGCTTCGAAGTCACCAAAAACTTTGTGAATTTATGAATGAAAGTAATGGGAGTGGACTAACTGGTCGATTTTTACTGTGGCTGTCGATCTCATAGATGGTGTCTTCGTAGGGAAATAAGTAATCTCTCTCCCTTACTTAGTCTTGCTCTTCAAGCATAGTTGAGTCCAGCAACGCATTTGTGGTTCAGCCTAGCACCACTGATGAGACCTATAGCAGGTTGAAACAGCGTTGATTTTATCAGTTTCAATAAATTTTGTACACATGAAATAATCAATCACGAGAATAATTCAAATCACATAAAGACTCAAACTGATATTTGTTCATATGTCTGCACATGCCTATATTTTAGACACCATATTTCCAAATAATCAGTTTATATTGAAGAAACAATTT